ATCTACTGCAGTCCATTTCATTTGAATGTCATACTCTTAACGTTGAATTCAGTGCCATTCGGCCGAAAATTGCCAACAAACAATTTTAAGTAACTCGGTCTTACCTTACCCCAAATGCGGATACCTCTATTTATAAGAAACATGCTGCCCTTATTTGTGACACGGCCGAACAGTCTAAACCAGCGAATGTAGTTATAGCGTTGCGGCACTTCAATTTGCCACAAATCACTTGGTATTATAGTGATAATTCTGGCTGTATCGTTCCAACTTTAACATCTGATAGAGCTATTGTGTTTTTCAGTGAATTATTTGATCGTCATTTACTAAAATACAATCGTACTTCTAACAGTAATGGCGGACTGCTTGATCTTTGCTTTGCCAATTTCCCGCAGATAGTTATGTTCACGTTTAGTTCACCTGAGGATCCGTATCATCCATAAATTGCATTTGCATTTCCTTTTATTACAAACATGATGGCCCGTTGAACCAATCTAATGTGTCATATGCAACTTTCTCAAATAAACATTATGATTTTAATAAAACCAATATCTTATTGCTTAAATCTCATCTTTCGCATATTACGTTCGATTTTTCTGCTGGAAACCCTACTATCATCGTTCTATAATGTATTAGACCTAGCTATTTCTGCATCCTTTCCAATCAAGTAACCACGCTCTCGAAGCAATTGCCTGCCATGGTTTAATAGGTGTATTCAAACATTACGAAAATAGGAGAAACAAAGTTTTCAAAAAATTTATGGAAAGTGGTTTTGCTTATAACTATTTTTCCTATTCTGCATCAAGATAAAAATTTAATTACCTTAACCACCAGTATTATCACAGATACTTTGATAAAATCCTCACTGCTTGTTAATCCGAAATATTTTTTTAAGTTTGTCAACTCAAAAGAAAAATCTTTATATATGGAAGAGTGTTAAACGTTTTCGTACTAACACCTTCAATCGCGAACAAGCTATGCTAACTCCATGTCTACAGCAGAGGATCTAGACGAGTGCATCAATATATTTCCTATGAGTACAACAGACGCCACGCAATCTCCAGTGCCCTACCAGTTTTCCAAAAATAATTTTCTTGGGCGTCCCAACCATACATTGATTTTAACGGGCGTTTTTTTTATAGAAGACAATGGAGTCGTGATCGACAACGATAGAAGCAAATTGCTGCGTAAAAACGCAACGTCATTCCACTACCTTGATAATATAAATTCTTTGTCTAGGGGTAAAACAAGTTGTTGCGGAAACATTGCTAAAAAATCATAAAGTCCCTTATAAATTGAGATCGTCTGCCAGCAACTGAATGGTCGATTCTTTAATAGTGCGACTGGATACAATCTCAGCTCATGTCCTGGCGAACAACTACATAACTGGCAACGGCCTTAAATGTTTCATAAGCGAAATATCTCTAGGCAAGTCTCTCATGATATTAGACATATAGCTTTAAAATATATTTTCTTTGCAGAAATCTGTTTTTTTTTTGCTTACACGATATGAACAGTTCGGTTTCAGACCTCAGCATAATACTTCACACCAACTAGTTCGCCTCGACCGCCATATTAAAGACAAATTTGAAGTTAAACTTCTATAGAATTACACAAATATGTAATTTTCTTAAATAAGTAAATAAATAGTTCATGCCAATTTTCTCTTTCTACAATAAACTGATCTACGATACATAACGCGCTGCCTAAAAAGTTGCAAACAGTATCTTGGAAATATGCGCCGGCCAATTTATAATTATCTCCGCTGAGGAAACTCCAGATTTACGATTTCCGGCAAGTTTGTTTACGTCAGTAATATCTAATTTAAAATATTCTAATTTGAAATTTAAATTTGTTTTGTTGTCAATGAATATGAAACCATGCGTGTGAATAGATAATAAAATTAATTTTACTAAATTTAGATCACGTTTGGGCTCTTCCCACATAAAAACTTGACACAAAAAGTATTGCGTAAGAGTAAGGCATAATTTTCAGTCTTTTGTTACCAAAATATATGAACAATTGCATTAGGCGAAGTGGTGTCACGTATTTAATAGTCGGCTTTCCCTGACAGTCACATTCGTTCTTGTTGTTTTTTACTGCTTCGTTACGTGTTAGTTTTATACTTTACATGTTTTTTAATGTTACATCTTTCTTTCACGTTATCGTTTTTAATACTAAAATGACACAGTTTACACCTTCACATCTTTATCCTCCTTTAGTTTCTTCGTTAATTCCCCAGCTTTACAATTCTTGACTTCAACGTTTTGCGTTTCTTGTCAACATTCTTTTTAGGACTAATCCTCCTAGTTTACAAGACATTGCAAAAACAATTTTGGAGTTTTCTTAATTTATTATTTCGAAGTATAGCGAATGACAGCATGTATAATTAAACGGTCTAAGAGAAAGTTCATCGGATTTATAAATAGAATATAATTTAATGTATTCATTATAGATAATTAAAGAGAGTCAGATATAAAAGCGTACGGTGAAGTTCAGAAAGATTGGAAATATCTCAATATAATTGAAAATTATAATTTCTGTATCCAATACAGATATATATTACGTGTTCGCAAAAATTTTGATCAGTGGCTTCTAAGGGTAAAAATGATAAAGAATGGAAAACACCAATGTAGATAGCGGTTGAATTCGAGGTTTTTGACCTTCCTCTGCATAAAATAACAGTTTTCTGTTTAATGTTATTGATGTATTTAGCGTACACCAACGATAATCATGGCACGCTCCTAATTCTTTTTCTTCCAAATTCATTATTTTTGTTGTTTATTTGAAGAAATCTGTTGCCGAAGTCCACCAAACTGTTTCAGAAGCTTATGATGAAACTGCTCCATCATATCCCACTTGTTCTTGGTTTCAACGGTTTAAAGGTAGTGACGCCAATTAATTGAAGATGTCATTATTTCGCCACTTGTTGCAAGAGTTGTACAGGATAGACTGTTGCTCGAATGGGAAGTACTGTCAGACCCAGCGTACTCACCAGATATGGCGCCTGCTGATTATCACTCTTTCCGATCGATCCAGCATTACTTGGATGGCACGCGGGTCCACAAAGTTGAAGAAGTGCGAAAATGCGTCGGTGGGTGGATAGCTGCCAAACCGACCTAAGTTCTTTCGGGATGATATTAGCATGTTAACAAAAGTGTTGTAAAATGTTGTACAAAATGATGGAAACTATTTTGATTAATATATATTCTAGCAATTGCACACAATAAATGTCTGTTTCAAGTAAAAAAGTGATGAACATTTTTGTAAACACCTAAGTCAGTATATAATTATAATTAATTGACGTTTCCTGTATTTTGTGTATCATAGATTCCATTTCATATAATTTGCTGGCACACACATGTCTGCACAGCAAACATATTAAGCATAATAAGCATAAAAACATTTTGTTCTGTGTGCTGTTCCTTTTAACTGTTAGGAAACACCTTTAGTTTATAATTTTGCAAGGAACTAAAGAAATGTAACATTTAAGTTGAACAATTAGTCTCTTGATTTGCCGCCTTCTCGGTACATTTTTTTTTTGCATTATCCGAAAAAAAGCTTTCTTATAAGGGTTAAACAATTAACTTACAACTGCCGGTCAGGAAAACGTTCCTGATCGGACAATATTCTTACTTTATTTACAACTAAATTGAAAATTTTTTATAATGACACTTTTTGCACCAACTTTAGAATGAGGGTACACAAGATTTATCTCGCTTTTTGTAATTTTATGTTATATATATTTTTGAGCAGTACGACATAATGAGTCCACAAACTCTTGTTCTTCCGACTATCTATTTGTTCCTCTGCGATTTCATACTGCAATCGTGAAGGTCCTTAAAATTGAGATGTAGAACTGGAACTTGGCGTATACACTATTAAAGCAAAGATGGTGCATAAAATGGAACGTGATCCTCTTAATATAAAACGTAATAATATTTTTCTTAAGAAAGTTTACGTCACCGATAAATTGAACGCAAACATTTAAAAATTGAGTAAAAAATCTATGTGATCTGCTTACGAACCGTCACAATAGCCAATAAATTTTAATTTAGCGCATTTTGGAGGCATGAGCTCTATCCTGATTGCCAGAGTCACTAAAAAGTTAGTGTAAAATTAATGTCGAATCTGATAGACATTTAATGAAATGCTTAGTAAATCTAATGATTTGAAATGGTGCATATCCAAGATGCGTTTCAATATTAAATAGTATATTCTTATCCGTTTATTATACCCACCACTGAGGATGAAGCTATTATACTCATGCCGTTTTTTTTTATAATGTATGTAACACCGCAAAGAAAGCTTCAAAGATCCTACAAACTATATATATTCTTGATTAGCGTGAAATTCCGAATTGATTAAGTCATGTCTGTCCGTCCGTCTGGTTTTTGTTGTTGGCACTCTTCTGGCCACAAAAATGAATATATAGAACTCAAAGTTGGTAGAAACATTGGCAGATTTTGCACGCAGGTTGGTATTGAAAATGGGCCAAATCGGTAGGAACGAAAGCGCGCAGTGGAGCATAAACTGAACGCAACTTACTTTTTCTTAATCAAAATTGTGGGTTTCGCTCGTTACTTAGAAACGATAAAAGTTAGTAGACTGACATTTTCCATTTACTTTACGAAACATTATACTCTTCACGTGCAGAAATGGAAAAAATCAGCCATGCCGACGCAAAGTTACAAATAATTATATATCATTTTTTTCACTTTTTTCAAGTTTTATGCTTAGTTATCATAACGCGACAACAGACTGGTTAAAAGTATGTTGTACATTCTTCAAATGAGTATTGTAATTGTAAAATGAACATGGTAGACGCCACAATAAATTTTTTGTTCATAATATCAGCGGTATAAGTTTCATATAAAAGTACTGTGAGAGTAGGATGCGAAAAGCATAGTGGTGGGTATGCGAGATTCGGCTCCCGTCGAATATAATTTTCTTACTTGTTTATTTTGTTTTTACCTTGAATTGTCGGCTGTGTTTAATTGCAGGAAACCAAGGAAATGGCTGTTTTGTCGAAATATATTGATCGAATAGATAACAAATTGAAGCGAATTCATATATTTAAACCAACAATAAGTCAGGCATTAGTTGGTGCAGCTTTAGCAGCGTGGACTATTAAACTATATTATTCCCTGTTGCCCAGAAGTAACAATAATATGTGCATTGACTGTGAAAATAATATAAAGCTTGCGAATATCGATAAAATTGAAAATTCAGATATTTCGACAACGAATGCAGTAAATAACGAAGATTTTTCTATAGCTGAAGCTGAAAAACTTGTCCTAGAGAAGCAGTTGAAAAATAAACGCGATAAAGACCTTTTCCAACCTGGCCTAAATAATGACTTTGTGAAGCAGTTGCTTAAATTATTGCAAATTATGATACCGAAAGTAATGTGCTACGAAACGGGCTTATTAGCCGTACATACTTTGTGCTTAATCTCACGTACATTTCTCAGTATTTACGTGGCTGCATTGGAAGGCGCCATTGTCAAATATATTGTACGTAAGGATTTGCGGCAGTTTACCATAGTTCTACTTAAATGGTTCGGCATTGCGATACCAGCCACTTTTATTAATTCTATGATACGTTTTCTGGAGGGCAAACTATCACTGTCATTTAGGTGCTACATACTTAGATAATGAATGGTAAATATATTTAATAAAGAAGCTTTGTTTTCAAATCTTAGAACACGGTTGGTGCGACACGCGTATCGCTTGTACTTTAAGAACCAAAATTATTACCGGGTTTCTAATTTGGACGGGCGTATTGAAAATGCGGATCATCGGTAAATATATCATGCTATTGTGAGCATTTTTTATGCCCACCACCAAAGAATGGGTTTACATTGAAAAATGCAGTAAGATTCTAATCCGATTTAAGCGTTTCCGTTTGCAATGGTGCCAAAAGTTGAGACTGAAACTATATATTGTTAATGATGGCAGGTGAAAAAAATTAATTAATTAATAATCCATACGAAAGGACTGTCTCATGCTTTAGTACATGGTCGTAATGATCTAACAAATCAGTAGATTACTAAGCAATTTCTATGTAATGTTTTTAGGTGGTGGGTAATAAAACTTCGCTGAAAGGTGAATATCAATTCCTTGCTTAAAATTTTTTAAATTTCATCGTCTTGCAGGCTAACCGAAGACATATCAGTATTTGCCAGTTCGATTGCCCACTTGTATGGTAGTCTCACTAAACCTTGCTTTGATCTAATGCTAATTGGTCTGGCTTTAATGCGTTCTACTCAAAGACTAAAATCGAACATTTTGCTGGGTATAAAAACAATATTCACTTTTATGGATGAAATACCTTCATCAAATGCGATATTTATTTCTACTATTTTTTTTATATATATGTACATATTTTTAAAGGCCCAGCACTGTCGATTATTGTCATAGGGCTGACGGCACATATAATGCGCGTACTTTCGCCGAAATTCGGCCAGTTGGTGTCTGAAGAAGCAAATCGTTACGGTTACCTTAGACACATACATTCACGAATTATCACCAATGCCGAAGAAATCGCATTTTACGGTGGTCACAAGGTATGTGCGTATGTATGGAATAGATTATTTGCGCAAATATTTGATATTACTACGTAGCACAGATAGCAATAAGGGCCAAGTTTCTTTTCAAAGGCATTGTACATCTCAAGGACTTTAAAGTTTCCGTAAATTTAACAGCATAGTGCGATTAACCAACATTTTACTACTAGCTCCTTTGCTCATCACTATTTCTATGTGCAAAAATCTTGTCAAAGGTTTCTTAGTACGATACCATTCTGCATCAAATGCCTATGCATTAAATTCGCACACGTTATGGTACACATATAAGTGTACATACATGAAAAAAAAACTCGCAGATGATGTCATTCCACATTATATAAGCTTATATTAAAGGTTATTATACTTTATATTTGTCAAATACTTCTACAAACTTCAGTGAACATTTTTTTTTTAAATATGAAGACTTCTTTCATAATAAAAGAGGTTCATTTGGAAAAACAATTCGGCTTTATTTAATGTGACATATTTGCATACACCAATCTTTAATATATTCTTTGAATTGCATTTTTTCTGCCTTCTTAAAGTTATTGCACAAGGCGTGTTACCTATTTATTTTATAATACACAGTTGATCTCCCAAAAATTATTTCAGATAGCTCATATCTCATATAGCTCAAAAGACTATTGTAATACAATTACAATGAATTAATTAATAAATATACGCATAAAATCTCAAAAACTCTTTAACTTAAGCAATTTGGGCGGTTTCTTATGTTCCCGACTAATATACTCTAGATTGACATGTTCAGGCCAAGAATCTTAAGTTTTTTTGCACTAAGACTTTTAACATCACAACCAATAAGTGACGTTTATGCTTACTGCAATCGTCATTCGTGTTAAACCAGTCTTTCGGTACTACGATTATTTTATAAGAAATTTAATTTTCTAACATACAATTTGTGTTTATTTTATTACTATGCTCTACTTTGTACAGTCCATATTTATACCGGTAACGTATACGTAGCTAGAGTCTTTATGTGTTCTACTCCGCTTTATTTTCTTATTGCACAAAATTAAAAATACAATAAACAATAATTTAAATGTACAAGCAAGTGTCTTTGATATTTACTCTGCATAGCGGGCTTCCAGTATGTATCCCATTGCTTGTATTCTTTTGTAAACGAAAGAAAAAGCCAAAGAATGCAGAGAAGAAAAATCGGTAAGAAGCACCTAAGAAGATAATCTGAAGTTTGTCTATGTTCGTCAACGTCGCGATCTGGTTGTGTTTTAATGTGTCTATGTTTTACTGAATTACTCATTCTCAATGCAATAAGGAGAAAACAATAACAATTTATAGAGAAAGATTAGCATTTGTGTTAACGTGAATGATAATTCGAAAATCAATACAAATAAACTAATATCTGAACCTGCGGTAGACAAAAAGAAAGTAAAATTGCTAGTAACAAACATTCTAAAACAGTTATTGCGAAATATTGTTTGCTTTAAAACGAAATACTTTGAGAATGTAATAGAAAAATAAAATAAGTGAGCATAATTACAGTCGAAACTAGGAAAAATAATTATATTAGTTTTTTTTTAGTAAATAGATAGACGTGGTGGAAGTTAGCAAAAGTAATTATAATAAAGTCTTTTTGGCAATAAATATATAAAAAAATTCCCCAAATATAACCCAAATCAATATATAAAAAAAAGTTCAAATGAAAATACCAAAACTAAGAGCGGCCAAGCCCTGAAAAATCAAAATTGAAAATTTTATTGCGTATACGCTTACATATTAAGCAAATGCACGCACAACCGCACACAAGTGATTCTGTTTTAGCGCGAATACACTCACGCACAGATCTATTCCAAATGCCATACTATAGCATATGCATATTCATAGTGTAGGGTTACGCATAAATGTAAATTTCACTAAATGTTCTTATTTCAATTCTTTTACTCTGTGCTTTGGGCTCATACTTAATAATTTTGCTGCACAAATGTTGCTAGCGATATATATATATAATGATTTTGTGATAATAAATTTGCGACCACTACTAAAATACATTATCAGCAGTTTATCTATTACGATAGCAACATTACATGCAAACATCATAGCTTTGGTTTTGATATTATTTGCCGGCGTTATGGCTAGAAAAAAATGAAATATTATATCTATGCAGTCTGTTGACGTGTTGGCGTGTTTTTCTATTAGACAATAAAGTCATTGCTAAAAAGCTTATGCGGGCGTTGACTCGTAACATTAACGCAGAATGAAGGACCAAATGTGATAAGTGGTGTCGCAAGGATCTCTAACTGGTGATCAAGTATAGTAGAAAAGGACGCAGTATGTTTTTTCTCTTGCCTTGTAATGCGTCAAGATTTTAATGTGGGAAACTTGATGTTTATTTTTATGTGTCTTGATAGACTCCAAATTTAGTTGAATTTTTGCCGTGCGATAGATGCAATTGTATAGGTTTTGCTAATGTAGGGAAGGGTGAAGTTACGTAAGCTAAACGCGCGATGCCAGAAAATAATGTCTAACGGACGAACATATTACCACGAACAACTTATTAACGAACAACTGACGTATTATAAATTAACTATGTGGCTGTCCTCATTAGCATGTTATTCCACTGTCCATGTGAGCAGCAGAAGGCTAATTCATATTTTCTCTGTATTTTGTGATAAAATTATTATTTTTTGTAAATTTAAATTAGATAATTAAATCCTTTCATTACTTTCTTAACATTTTCATCTTTAATATTTTCATCATCGGGTGGTTAATTCTTTCGAGAGCGTTATTGTTGTCTTTTAAGTTGCTGCTGCGACATCTTTTATTTTTGGCTTTTTTGAGTTGTTTCCTCAACAGACCTCACACGGACGGATATCTGACAGCCATCGAGCGAGTGTAAATTTCCCTAATTTTTATGTTTTGTGTTTTTAATTCAATTTAAGACGTCCAGCTAACGAGGCTGAGGCAAAGATCAATGCAACTATACCAGCTGACCTCACCCTATATAATTCAAAATAACAATTTTCATCGCCAGCGTTTTGTAAATAAGGCGGTTCTGAACTATAATTCTAATGCTATATGAAAGTTACAATAGCCTGCTTACAACGAAGTTGCGCTTGGTTATGAAAGTCAAATATTCTCCACAGCGTATTTTCTCAATATATCTGCGATGAACGTGTGATTCTAAATTTATTTAATCATAAATATATGATAGTATACAATTGCTATCAAAAGTTACTGAATATTTTGCTTTCTAAAAAACATTTTCTACATTCGCGACGAAAGCATTTGTACTCTACATAGATGCGATTTATTTAGTTGCGAAAGAATGAAACGTTTACTATCAAGTGTTTGCAATTTGAAATATACGGATATGGAATGCGTATAAGTGCGCATGTACTAAAAAAGACCAAACAGCAGGTATATGTTATCTATGCTTTGACAAATGTCAAAAAAAATTTTGATATCAAGAAATATGAAGAAATTTTTTATTATTAAAAAAAGTTATGTTGTTGTTTATTAGACTTATCTAGTTTACATATTTTATTTTATTGTTTCTGGTTACGCAGTGTGTGGTTCTATTCTATTTTAGTCCTTTGACCATTAATTCAAAGCATCATTACTGTTACTAATAACAGAAGCGATACGAACTCTTGAAATATCTTATTTTAAAAATTTTTTTGAGCGTTCTTGTTCTTCAGTTCTCTCTTCTATTACTACAACTTACTCTTTGAAGCCGGAAGCATGCGAGTAAATTGCTCTCTACAATCAGTTATTGTTAGAACTAATACATGTGCATTTAGTTGTTATAACTATGTTAAGCTAGTATATTATCCACTAGCCTGATTGGAATAGTTTGTTAAGAAAGTCCCTGTAAATCAATATTGTCTTTAAGATAAATATGTAATGATATTCAATTTTGGAATAAAATGAACCAATCTTTCTATCGATATTAGTCACTTCGCAAGATTATTAATTTTTTTACAAAACTCAAAAAAGTAACTACATTATTTTTATTTACGATGATAAACATACTTTATCCTTACCAAAGAAACGTATTCCTTTCTTTAGGTTGAATTACAGCAACTACGTCAAGCATATAATCGTTTGGTAAATCAAATGAACTATATTTTCACACAGAAATTATGGTTTATCATGGTGGAACAGTTTTTTATGAAATATGTTTGGTCCGGCACGGGCATGGTAATGGTTTCACTGCCAATCTTAATGGGCTCCGTCAAGAAACGATACCGCGGTCGCGGTCTAAGCGGAGATATGGATTCTAATGTTAGTGAACGAACACAGTATTTGACGACGGCACGTAATTTACTGATATCTGCGGCTGACGCCATTGAGCGTATGATGACCGCCTATAAAGAAATTGTGTCCTTGGCTGGTTATACGTACCGCGTAGCTAGTATGATAGAGGTGTTTGAAGAGACAGCGCAGGGCATTTACAGTAAGATAACCATGGGCAAAGATGCTAAAGACGAACATAGCGTTATAGAATTTATTAATGATCAGCCTGTGGCAAAGGGTCGCATCGTATACTCAGACAATTGTGACAATGCTTGCATATCATTGCGATCGGTGCCGGTTGTTACGCCTAATTGCAATGTCGTAGTAACATGTTTGAATCTATCCATTAAACCTGGAATGCATTTATTAATCACAGGACCCAACGGTTGCGGTAAGTCCAGCCTTTTTCGCATTCTCAGTGGACTTTGGCCCATATACGCAGGTGAGTTATGTATACCACGGGCGATCGAAGACAAACCTTGTATGTTCTACATACCTCAGCGTCCTTACATGTCCATCGGCAACTTGTGCGATCAAATTATATATCCTGATACTCGCGACAGTATGTTGCGCAAGGGAATCAATGAGAATGACTTAAGGAACATACTGAAACTGGTTTCCTTGGAGCACATTGCTCAAAGGTATAAATTGAGTCAAGTTGAGTCGAACTATGCCTTAACTATATATTATATAATGACAATAATTTCAGAGACAGCTTTTATGTTGTGCGTGATTGGAAAGATATCTTATCCGGCGGCGAAAAACAAAGAATGGCCATAGCACGTCTCTTTTACCACAAGTAAATCAAAACATAATATGATGAGCCAGAGAAAAAATTTGTTATCTATAATTGCAGACCAATGTATGCTCTGCTAGATGAATGTACAAGTGCTCTATCGGTTGATATAGAAAGCTCAATTTACGAGACGGTAAAAAATATGGGCATCACATTATTAACAATTACACATCGCCCGACCTTATGGTGAATATTCATTATGCCATTGGTTTAGTTTTTAAAACAATAATTTTTATAGGAAATTTCACACGCATTTACTTGAATTTGATGGCCAAGGTGGTTGGAGTTTTCGTCCTTTGGAATTGCCAGAATATCAACGACCATAGTTTACATCTATTGTTAATAAATATTTTGTAGCTGGCTATCAATTTAGGTATTTTTTTCTGGTACACATGTATTTGCTTGGTTTTTAATACAATAATGTTAAGACGAAACTTCAAATCACACGTTTCAATGAAAAGGAAGCATTTTTACTAGATGGAATTATGGGAATATGAAAGATTGCAGTCCACAATAGCAGCAGTCGTTTTAAGGAAGCGTGTTTTTTATATTTGCGTTACTGTGTGTGTAATCACTTTTAGCGTAACATAACACATAGAACTTTCAACTAGCTCTCGTTTCTGAAATTTACAAAAATATAAGTTTAGGATCGTAAACACTTCCTATAGTTTTTGGGAAAAGTCTCTAAGATTTTTTTGCAATACGGTAAATGTACCAAAGATGATTTTGATTATTTTTGTAATTTCAGATAGAGACACTCAAAAAGTCATGTTTTCGCCATATAGACAATGCCAAGCTAAATTACCATGAAAAAGTAAAATCAGTGAATTTAGTTTGAAGTGTTGACAGCGCTAGAAATGTTTTCGCTGCTAAAACAATGCTTTCTCACTTCTTGGCATTGTGCTTGAATGTTTTTTCAAAAAACTGATTAATAGAATTTACCAGTTTAAGAGGGTCACAAAATCCATGCGACACAATGCATTCAAATATCGAACTTACAATAGCAGTACTGCAGTAATGAATATAAACAGGTAGCTGTATTACTAAACAAGGTGCATGCATTTTCATCGAGTACCTGCTTTAAAAATATTTTTTCCGTTTTGGCAGAGTCCAATTTTTATTATTGCTTCAAAGTTACCAATAATTAATGTTGCGTTATTTATAATTATTTGTAGCTATGACTTAGGCGTTGAAGACACTGAATGCATTCGCATCGCTTATCACGAACATGAAGGAGATTTGGTTGTGTACGGGTTCCTACGGCCTATTAAGTAGTTTGCCTTGCATTACGACATCAATGCAAGTGGATTGAAAAGTCACAGTTTTGCCGTATTTGATTGCGCCCATAATTAAGAAAGTGATCTGAGTCAAAATTTTAAAAAATGAGTTCATCAGTTATTTCACATCACATTATTTTAAGTTAAATTAATTCAATGTAATTTTTACAATGTCGTCAAAAATGAACCATTAGATAGTGATTGTAATTTCAACATTATATGGAATTGTGTTAATTATGAAAGTGGTCTAATTCAAAAATTTAAAAAGAAAGAAATTATAAGAACATAACTTTGACATGGCGCGTTTCTGAAGTACACATTAAGCCGACAAGCGACAATCACACAGTAACAGAAACGACAACACATGAATTCAGTTGGGCCCTTCCGAACTAATTGTTGGAAGAAAAATAACTTATATATTATTACAAAAGTGCCACTCTTCATGAGTTGAGTTTTATGAAAACTAGTCGGTTTTGTCAATATCAAGATGAATGTATGGGATAAAACAGCAGCTTTAAGAGATGCAACGGAAGTAGCATCGTGAATTTTAATGCACACGGAAGATATAACTATTCAAAAACACGTAACTACTTACAGTGATGCTTGTTTAGGGCAAAATCGTAACGTCAAAGTAGCATTGAGATGGATAAGAGTTGCTTAGTCATCAAATAATAATATTGAAACGATACGCCATAAATTTTTGGTATTTGGTTATTCCTTCTCACCGAATGGCCATGATTTTAGGTTGATAGAAATGAAAATGAAAAAAGCCAATTACATTTACAGCCCTGAGATTATTTTGAATTGACAGAAAAGGGTAGAAGAGGAAATACATTTTCGGCAAAACTAATGTCGCAGCCGGATTTTATTTCGGCGAAATCACTAGAAGTGTCAACGATAAGAGAAGTAAAAAATACCGTGGGTGAATGTCTTTCTTGGCTGCAAATTTAATGGATGAGATTTTTGAAAAATAAGCTTTATAAGATATTCTACAAAACTTCTTTAGATGATTCTAACCTTCATGTAAAAGAAAAAAACCAAAAATATACGGAAATATTAAATTATTTCCATTATACACCACCACTGAATTATTAAAGGAAGAAAAACAAAAATATTATGTGTTTACTACCATACCTCCAGTTTGATTACTTTTTAAAAATAATTAATAAATCTTCATGAATTATTTCTAATAAAACTCGTATTTTTCTACTGCTTTAAGTCATTTATAAGACCTTTAGTTAGTTTTGAAAATGGTTTAAGTCAATAAAAATTTTAAAATCAACATTTCACAAAATTTCATTTTCAAAATTTCATATTTCTAATAAATTTCCATTAATCAATACTAATAAGAAAATTCCGCATAATGTAAAAATATATTTTGATTTAATCAAATGCAATTCATTAAATATCTCGAAACAAGAAATGTATTACATAGGCAACTTTCATAATTATGGGCACAATTAAGGGTTATCTAGGAAAAATGTTACCATATAGTCATTTTTCGAAGCAAGTGACTTTGCTGTAAACACTGCAACGGTAGCTGTATGATTTACTTGTTCAGGCTATTACAAGGGATGAAGTCTAGGGAGTCTTAAAGGTAAGAAAGGTAGAAAAGAAATTTTGTTATATTTCTTTGTTTTTAGAAGCACATGGCATCTGCTGCCGTTAGTTGCTTTCTCATGGATTTCAAAGAGTAAAGTGTATGTAATTTCTCTCTTCTTGTCTATCAATTTGATCATTGTTAGAGTAATAAATGCCTTTATTTACATTACTTTGTACACAGGCGTATGCATAGGTACATTTGCAATGAGAGCGAAATATATACCAATTTTTTCACATTGTTCCAGAACATTGTTTTTGATCGTTACTTCTGTTTATAGGATTCTAAATTTTCAAAGCATACAAAAAAGGTATACAAGCAGCTACGTTAGAGAGTTATGCTTGCGTGAAACAAAATGTAAGCCGATATATATATATATATATATTAATAAATAAAATGAAACAGAAAATGCAGGCAAACTGTAATGTTTACATATTACATATATATATATATATCGTCTTTTTCTGCTGATTACGCAAACTCAGTTATGGTTGTATGAAACAAAATAAAAAATGATGGTAAAGAATTCTATATTATCAAAAATAAGTTTCATAAAAAGTTTGCTATTATATCTCGAATATTATAGAATATAATGTACTTATTTTTTCTCCTCTCATATTTCTTTGCTTTTAAAAGCAAAGTATGGTGTCTGTTATCCATAGTCGCTTTCCCACGAACTTCAGAGTACAGTGTATGTATTTTCTCATTTCGTCTGTATCAATTTGATTATTGTTAGAACAATAAATGCCTATATTTACATTTCTTTATGCACAAACACACGAAAGAGTACGTTTACAATGAGAATGAAACATTTCCAAATGCTCAATATCGTTCGAAACATTGTATCGCAACATGATGCTAAATATGACAATTTTCAAAGTTTACAGACAAGATGTAAGAGCAGCTATGTTAAAGCGTGAAGTTAAATTTAAATTTAACCAGCAAAGACACATATCAAGAACTTTTGTTTGTGGGCAGAACAAATTTTCAAAGTGTCAAAAAAAAATTTTCCCAAGGAATCTTTATAAATGTGATACACCGTTGGAATGGCCATTGATCAAGGATTCACGTGACATTAGTTTCATTTGTTCGCAGCAGTTGGTTTGGCCACAGTGACTTATCGAACGAAGCCCCCATATTAGTTCACGTAGAACAAATTTTCAATGTGTCAAAAAAAATTTTTCACACGGAATCTTTATAAATGTGGCACACCGTTGGAATGGTCAATGATCAAGGATTCACGTGATATTAGTTTCATTTGTTCGCAGCACTTGGTTTGGTCATAGTGGTTAAGTAAACTTTCACTTTTTCAGCCTTGTATTTCATATAGTAAAAAGACCTTTTTGTATTAGATTTTAATTAATTAAGATAAAGTGGTATTTTTGTCATAATATTAAAAAAAAAAATCCTGAAAAGGTCCTATTTTAACTAAATTTTGCTTTAAATATCTCCGAGACTTCATTTAACCAAGCTCTGTTAACTGCTTAACAGAGCTCTGTTCACATTTTCTGGTTTGCGTCTTTGCTAGTTAAATTTAAATGTAACTTCACACCCTTGTTTGCCAAATTACTCTCTCATACTTGCCAAATTATTTGAGTCGGACAGTTCTGCGGATTGCTTATTTCCATCCCTTTAATATTCACAACTTCATTAACAAATCTCATAACAAAAATAAATATATTAGATCCTTGCAAAAATATTGCCTTTTTTCTATTGGTAAAATCCATTTAGCGAGAAAAATTGGTACAATGTATATTAATCAAAATATCTTCCATGATTTTCTCAAATATTTTACCATATTTCTGGCAACATGTCTGTCGAGAATTTATATTGGTTTGGCGGTAATCCAATCGCCCACCCATTTTCGCAATTCTGCGTGCCAGCCAAGCCAAGCTGCCTCGATCTAAACAGGTGATAACCAGAAGAAGAAGGAATGTCAGGTGGTCCTTGATAACTCGTGCAGCAAGTGGCCAAATAACAGCATTTTCAGTCATTTGGCGTCATCACTTTTACAACATCGAAACCAAAACCGGCAATTGGGATACGATGAAGCAGCGTCACTCTAAGCTTCTGAACGTGTTTGGTGGGCTTCGGCAACAGACTTCTTCAAACCAAACAGAAAAAATAATGGACGCTGAAAATGCAATCTTCGGTGCTCCATAAATAGGCACGCGCTGATTGAATCAATAATATTAAATGGAAATCTGATATTTTATGTAGAGAAAGTTCAAAATCATCGAATGTAATCATTCTGTACACTCGTGTTTCCAATTACTTTCTCATTTTTATCTGCAGAAATCGTTGACAAAATTTTTGCAAGCACCTAATATATATATTGTGACGTAACGAAGCGAATGATGTTTCGTTTTGTTGTTAACAATTATTTCTTTTTTTCTTAATGTTATGGCATCCCATAAGCATAATTGAATACCATTTATCATCGCTTTTGTATTCGTACCGACATATACATACAATTATTTTTTTAACTGATCCAGGATGTGCAAAAATTTACATACTCTGCGAGTTATGATATGAGTCTGCGAGTAATGATATCAGAAAACACAAATCGTTC